AATTAGAAATTTGTATAAATTAGATGTAGTACGTTGATTTCAATTCAGATAATTGATATGATTCTTTATCATCCGTAAATATGGATATAGCATTGTGGCTATATAAGCACTATATTTATCCTATTATTTAAAAAATTTTTTTACCGAACTGGATGTTGAAAGGATTGATAACAATAACATTATTTCTTTCTCAAATAATGACACATGGCATCTGATATTTTTTATTTGACTTTGATATTTATCCTATTATTTAAAAAATTTTTTTACCGAACTGGATGTTGAAAGGATTGATAACAATAACATTATTTCTTTCTCAAATAATGACACATGGCATCTGATATTTTTTATTTGACTTTGACTAAGTTGTTTTATAGTATCGCGATCATTCTAATTCTTCCTTTTGCCAAAATAATAAAAGCTATCCGATGAAAAATCGGGAGCGAGATTTTATTGAATTTATTGCATTAGCTTTCTTCATTTTTGAAGAGCCCAATTAAAGCCTTTTCTGTGTTCAAATGTATGTAGGTATCTAAATGGACGTCAGATCCCTGGCATCAAGAAGAAAGTCGCGAAATTTTTTCTTTTCTTTTCGTTACTTTTAATATTATGATGTTTGTTATCATTTAACCATTCCTTGGTTTCATCAAGAGAGACTCTTGTGTTTGAGATATTGATTATGCAAGTATATTAGAGCTTACTATCACTGGTCAAATTGAACATTTGGGTTCGAACTAAATTTGATATCCACGAATCAAGCGAACCATTTGAATATTTGTTGCTTAGCTTTTTTTGAATCATATCTTCAGATTCGCAAATTAATGGTAATAGTATGATATTTCGTCACATTGACATTTTGAGTTTAAAAACTTGTTAAAACATTATGTGTTTGCTTACGAAAAATTTCAAACAACAACATCGAGGTTTACTCAAGACGCGTATTATCATTAATGTTGAAGCTGACTGGAGAACTGTTAGTCGTCTGGATTTTTCTAATTAATTAAATCGCTTAAATTTTTTAACAAAGTCGTCGAACTTTTCATTAAAAAACCAATACAAAACACGTCTTTTCATCTTGATAAATAATTTTTATTAATAATTTTACTGTTTGTTTAAAAGCCAGTTTTGGAGTAAAGAAAATCCACAAAAAAACATTATAAAAAAAATTATTGTTTTCTTTATATTAATATTATTATTTATTTGTTGAGGAAAAAATTTATTTATTCTAATGATTAAAGAGTTGTTATATGAATAATAAATTACATATACATATGTATATACAAAGAATTTAATAAATTTAAGAAGTTACTCCAACCTAGGAACAGCAGTCCATATATTGCACAAACACGTAAATTTTTTCTCCTGTTACACGTATTCTTTCGCGTCACAGCAAAAATGGTTTCCGGACAGGGTACAATTATTATCGATCTATCCAAAGAGCCAATGATTTATCTTTATTGTTTTGCATTTTTTTTAAAAGTAAATGGTCGTGATGGTATTGGTGAGAGTCGGATTAATGTAGTCGATGAGAGTCGGAATTAAAAGGTAGAGGAGAGAGGATTGGTAAAAAATTTTCTAAATTGATAAAAGTTTAAAACTTAGTATATACAGTGAACCCTCCCTAAATGCACGCACTATGTATACCCTCCATAAATGCACGGCCCATCTCATCCCCAAGCTTAT